TGTCAGGAGTTTGTCATGCTGCTCTTTAGACAGAGGTGATGGAGCTGAAACTGAAAGGATTCTAGAGGCTGATGTTCTTACACTCAGTCAGGCAGGAGGCCCCTGATTGTGTGTGGCTGGCTCGCTACTTGAAGATACTTTAATAGGGAGTAGGAGGGAGATAAGGATAAACATGGGGCTATGTTTTCCTCTTCTCCTTATGTCCCGTTTCCCCTTCCTTTGCCTAGCAAGACTTCAAGGACCGCATTCATAGACAAAGGTTGACCCAATCAAAGATAAAAGAAAATCGTCAGCAAATCGTTCGGGCCCGAAAATATTATGATGATTATAGAGTTCAGTTGCGTGCAAAAATGATGAGAATGAGGACTCGGGAAGAAATGGTAAGTACGGCCTTTCTACCTAGCCCAGTTACAATGAATTTTGTCCATTACCTTTCAGGAACCACTCTGACTGATCTCAGTTTGCATCCAGAATCCAAACATAGATCCTAAAATGCTGGCCATGAGAGTCTGTCTGTACTCGTTATACTTCATTATCCTACTGTGTGTCCTCACCATTTTAGTCTCCACAGACCTTGCCTTCATGTGAAACCTTAATTCCCTCTGACCCCTCACTCACAGTTCTTTCTTCAGGACAACTGTTTCAGGATTTGGGAGTGCACAATAAAAACAGCAAATTAAGGCATGATTATATGAGATAGGATTACACCTAAGATCAGGAATAACATTAGGGTAGCTATACTATGAGCTATTCTGCAGGGATCCTAAACTATGAATAAACTTTTGTGGTAAAATAATCATATAGTTAATTTTACTAAGTACTCTAAAATACAGTATTTCTAGAGGAAGACACTACTAAGGCTCTTGAAAGGCAAAGTGTTGCCTAAGCGTAAGCATGGCTATGAGAACCATCTTCTGTCAAGAATTATGGAAGAGGGTCAGGGAGTTAGCTCAGTGGCATAAGTGCCTGCCTTGCAAGCACAGGGTTGCGAGTTTGATCTCTGGTACCAAAAAAAATTAGTAAAGAAAGGACAAGTGGACATAGCCAAGGTCTCTGAGCACTTTGCAGTACTGTGGCTACCCACATGCTCACCACCACATCTTTGGTTATGCTCTTGTTTATGCATTTGTTTCTGCTCGGGATACTTGCCTCATACACATCATTACTTAAGAATTCTTTTCTGGAGGTAGTAAAGAATCTTTGCAATACATGAGAAGACGCTAAACACCACTAGTTGTTACAGAAAGAATATTATTCGCACGCACCAAGATGTCTAAAATAAAGGTAAGTTTGAGTATGGGGAGAATTTGGAATCTTCCTGTGGGGCTGGTAGAGTTGTAAAGTGGCATGAGTGCTTTGGAAAATGATCTGGCAATTCCTAAAAGGTTATCAAAAAGCCGGTGATTTTACTCTTTAGATACTGTGTATGTATCATACACAAAAATCTGTATACAAATGTTCATACCAACATTATTTGTAACTACTAAAAAGGGGACACAATCCCCATAACTCAGCTGATGAACAAAAATGTATGTTCATACAGTAAAATATTATTTGGTAATAAAATGTAGGTCCACCTTGAAAATGCGTTATGTGAAAGAAGTGTGCAGAACAGGCAACTCCACAGAAGCAGAAAATAGATGAGTGGTACTAGGAATGAAGGGGGGGCGGAGAACAGAGAATGACTGCTACTGGAGTTGCTTTGTGGGGTGAGGAATATGTTCTGAAAATAGTGACAGCAGCACAACTGTGAATACACTAACACCTGCTGAAGATTTTTTGCGGGTGGGGAGTACTAAAGATTGATCTTAATAGGTTGCAGAGGTACATCTCAGGTGTTTTGAGACAAGGTTTCACCAAGTTGCTCAGGCTGGGTTTGCACCTGCAGTCCTCCCACATGAGCCTCCCAAGTACTGGGATTAGGCATATGCCACCATGCACTGCCTGAGATATATATTCTAAAATGCGTAATTATATCATATATGACTATTTGGATAAACTCACTTTTAAAAATCTTTGTGAAATATCAGTGTATACCTCTAGTTAACAAAATTATATTCTGTAGTAGTAGTTCAGCATATATTCATCTTTGTGATTATATAACTGACAGATATTTAAGCAACTGTTTGAAGAAGGCTTACAAATTCAGAAGCAAAGATTACGGGACCTAAGAAACTATGCCAAAGAAAAGCGAGATGAAGAAAAACGACAGCACCAGAATGAACTGGACTCAATGGAGAACTACTATAAGGACCAGGTGGGCTATTACTCTCTATTGTTTACAGTGTGCTTGGTCCTGACCACCTGTGTTCAGAGTCTGCTTAGTTCACTGATACTAAACCTCCCCATGTTAACTTGGGGCTTTGCACCTCATACAGGCTAGCGTGATCCCATTTTCAAGTGAGTACTTAGCCACGGAATACATCCATATTGCTCTGTGTCCAGTAAGATAAAGATTTTAAGCCTAAGAACAGTAAATATGAACATTTTTATATTTTCACTGTAAGCATTAAATGTATTTTCTTCTTCCCTATAAACAGTTTTCATTGCTGGCAGAAGCCATATCACAGGAACGTCAGGAACTCAAAGCCAGAGAGAAAGCCCAGGCCCAGGTAATAAGACGATAGAAATTGTTTGCATTTTTAGGAACTTGAAAACAGCTGTATTATAACTTTTAAGGGGATGGAGAAACAACTAGTAAGAAAATCCATCTATAAGACATTTATCCAGGTTTAACTATCTATTCTGGTCTCTGTAAGAGCTACTTTTAAATTATATAAATGACTGCAGGAGCTTAATAAGCTGAAAAGTAGAGAGGAAATAAAAATAGATGAGGGCCTAAGATAAATGTTGTGAATAGCAGGATGACATGAGTTCTCTTTCAGACATTGCATAAGGTGAAGAGAGAACTGAGATCTAAGATGGAGAAGGAGATTCAACAGCTACAGTGCATGATAACGCAGAATGACGATGATGCTTTCTTCCGGGAGTTGGAAGTCGAGCGCTTCAGAGCTCGGCTACAGCTGGCTTCCTTTCAGTACAGTAACAGTCCCTTCCCATGAGGCCTGACTTGACAGGTGAATTTTCTGGACAGAGTAGAATTGAGCCAGTAAACATTCTAAACCAGAAGAGTAATTTTGAAATGCATTATCTGTGTATTCATTTGGATACTTAACAATTTTTAAAATAAAAACTTTTCTTAAGGTGTTTTGAATTTATAACTTAAAACCTGGAAAAAGGAAATAAAAGCACACATCCTTAGTCATATTTGTGATAAAGCAATTAACAAGTCTTGCTTGAGCAGCCAGCGCAAGCCCCAGACCCCAGAAAGACCTCATTAATTGAAGAAAAGCTAGAAACCTGGGCTAGTTATTAGAGGTGACCTTAGGGTTGGACTTTGACTATGCATTATATGTGCAGGTTCCTCACATGATTGAAAGATGGGAAACATTTATGTACTTTGGCTTCTGCAATGTAACAGAAGACAGCACCAAGGAGAGGCTAAAGGTTTGCATGTCAAAATAGCAATTGGGATTGGAAAGTGGGCAAGAGTACACCAGCCCCTTCCATGGTAGCAGGGGGATGAGAGCAGAAAACCCACTCAGGTGAAGGCCAGGAATCAAGTGAGCTTCAGAGCTGCTAAGGATATGGGGACCTTGCCGATCAAGGGCAGGGACAGACAGTACCACAGCAGGCCAGCTGGTGGGGACTCACAGAACAGCATGCAGAGAGGAGCACAGGAAGGAGGTTACAGATGATGAGAGGCCTAAAGAGGCCTCGACGTGAGAGGTCATACTGTCCTGCAGAGGAGTAGGCAACTGGATTGACTGTTACGGTCCAAGTGATGCCCTCTTACGTTGACAGCTGACAGAAGACTGGGTACCTGGCTGGCAAAGGTCCCCTACTCCTTACTCCTGAAGCAAAACTCTGTGTACGTGCACGTGTGCAACTGGAGATGGAATCCATGATGTTGCACATGCTAGGCAACTGCTCTAACCCTGAGTTACATACCTCCAGCACTCTTTTTTTAACATAGAAGCTAAGTTGCCTGGAATTTCTGATCTTTCTGCATGAGCCTCCCAAGTAAAACCAGCTGTTGGGTTTGCGATTCTGAGACTTGCTGAAGTGGGGTGATCCCTTCCTGATGGCCACACGCACCCTGAGTTTTGAGTACCCAAGTTTGGGCTTGGCATTTGCCAAGATACATGCTAGAAGCATTAGTTTGATAGCTTCAGTTTTCTAACGGCCATCAAAGTTCTATACCTAGCAGCCAGTACAGAGCCTGGGACACAGGAGAAATACGTGTTTGTTGGTCATGTTTAGGGCAAATGTCTTTTGAGTTAGGTAAATTTAAATTTAAAATCTGGCCTGTCTAGTTTGCTAAGAGTGTTAACCTATATAATTGTCTCTTCTATCCTGTTTCCTAGTTGCAGAGTTATGAATAAAACTTAAAGTCTGTAGCTTCTAGGGAAATTATAACTGATTTCTCCTTTTCATGTTGAGGATTTAGCTGCTAAGCGTCAAGGCAGGCATGGCAAATGTGAGACCCCCTACTATAACTCTACTCTCAGATCCCTAACACAGCTGGTTATAGACTGCTTTTGGAACACATCACTCTTTCCTACTAAACCCAGACACTTCCGAAATGCCATCTTCTTTTACACAGCTTGCAACAGGCACTGGCAACTTAACAAGTTGCAGGAGATAGGCACCTTCCTGCTCAAGCTAGAAACAGAAAGGTTCCTAAGCTCTCTGAATCTCTAATGGGACAAAAGTCATCAATTAAAGAGGTGATGTATTCTTGAAATTTTCACTACAGGACCAGTTAATACTTTTTTTTTTTTTTTTTTTTTTTGGTCTTTTTCGTTTTTATCGGTACCAGGGATCGAACTCACGACTGCCTGCTTGCAAGGCAGGCGCTTATGCCGCTGAGCTAAATCCCCAGCCCCTAGTTAATACTTTTTTTTCCCCCCCAAAAATAACCCATTACAAACTCAGTGTTCTGTAAAAACTTTGATGCTGTGACAGTGCAAACAGCATTCTTTTATTGCTCAACTTCTGCATGGGCACATACATAGTTAATTCTTAAAAACCATTTATACAGATGTTATTGATAAAGCTCATGTAACAACTTAGTGAAAATACAAAGAACATCAAAGCTAAAACACTCTGTAATAAATACAAATACAATGAAAATGATAAAACTTTGTTTTTAAAGTCAGTTTGAGAGAAGGAAGAATATTACATAAAGTGAACTAATTACATCTAGAAATAAAACAACTCAGCATTTGGTACAATCACCATCCTAACATAAGAATGTTAAATACCACAAATGGCACCCGTTGACTACAAGCCGCAGCTTAAAGACAGAAACAAAAAAGCTGCTCTACCAAACTGACAGTGGCCAGAACCATCTAACTCACTAGTGCAGTCAGTCCAATGCACCAGAAGTTGAAAGCAAGTTTAGTGTTGTAAAACAAAGCAAATTACATTGCATTTAAAAGAAACTTGTGCTCCGAACTGTAAATACAAGGGGAAAAAGACATAAAAAAATAAACCCATTTAGGGCAACAAACTATGTGCAAAAAAAATGTACACTATACACAGTACTATTTAAAAACTTTACACCAAAAAATAAGGCCCTCTGAATCAAAACTCATTTCTGTACTGCATATGAGCCCTACAAAGAAATCACGCTCATAACCATTCATTATGGAAAGGCAACAGCATGGGAAGATATCACATACCTAAAACAGGAAGGATAAGAAAAAACGCAGTTGAGAGGGACATGTGGAAATAAATATTCACATTAAACACGAGGTGCAAATCCACGGTTCAATGACACTGGGGGGTTTGTTTTGCTTAGCACCTATTTGGAAGTAATCAGATAATGTAATTGTGAAACTGAAATCTAAACCATGTTTTGATGTATCATGTTGGTAATAGCATACAGTTATACAGGATGATTTCTTGCTTTTAAAGCTCCATTAAGTTATTATTTCAAAGGTAAAAGGCACTCAAAAAAGTGATGATATCTGCCAGCTTTATACTGTACATAAAAACTAATAGTAGCATTTAACTACTGCATCCCTGTCAGTTATGATTTCTCTAAAGTGTTCATCTTGCACTTTTTACTGAAAGGTTTTTAAGAGTAGGCACAATTACAAATTGCACTAGTGCTTTAATATAAAGAGATGGATCTGCAACAAATAAGGTACTATCAAAAAGCTGAAAATTACTAATAATTAAATAGCATAGAATCCATTTCTGTATACTTTAAAATGTTCTTTAATATTTCTAAGAATGCAGTAGGAAAAACAAAATGAGAAGAAAAGGTTGGCATAAGGACATTACCACTGCACAGTAAAGATTAGGACTAGCTTGCTTATAGGAGTCAAATTTGGCCAAATGAACTACATTCAAATACCTGCAAACTACACAAGTTGTTCTCAATGTTTTTTTAAAGCAGCACAATCTCCATTTATTCTGGCTGTACCCCTGCCCACCTGACCCCAGCCCATGAAAGGTTACTTAAAATTCCAAAAAAAGAGAAAAAAATTGGAGCTGCTCTTGGTCAAGTGAATGGGGACAACAGTTAAAGGCTCCTGCTCAAATGGCAACTAGATCTTTTCTTTGTACCTCTTCTCTTAAACCAGTACTCACTCCTCAGGTACTTACGAGGAACGCTTTGGCTTCAAGAACACAGACTAAAACCCACTCCATCATTGAAACAGAACACAACAGACTATTCACTTGGTAATTAAGCTACAAAATTTCAAGGTTTATCTTTAAAATTTGCTATTCTTATTTCACATGAATATGTTAAAAAAAAAAGAACAGTGCATTCTCTTTTGATGGTTGAACTTTAAAATCCATGGTAATTTCTTCCAATCTCTCAGGCAGAGTTTTGGTTGCCACTCACCTTGAAAACTCAATCTGAACATTAGGAAATCAGATGTAGATCTTCTGCACTGAGGGAACTGCGATTCCCTCCCTTCCAAAGTTAATTCTTCCACTTTAAAGTGACTTGTGTCATGGGAGTAGAATCACTTTCTTTAGTAATCACATTCCCTGCCCACCACCCCCAGTACTAGTTCCAGTTCATCTTGTGAGATAACAACAGGGTTTTCTAAGCTTGCAAAATAATCTTCAGAGCAAAAATTTTCGTTTTCACAATTTTAGCTGATTAAAATTATGAGCAACTAAACAAAGCTTCAGCATGGTTTACTTGATAGAAACTTAATGTAATTAAAATATAAATTAGGTGCACGTATTAGAGACTTTGGTTTAGGAATAGTATATATAGTAAAGACCAGCTGACCCAGCAAAAGAATGAAAACCCCACCCCATCCACATGCTCTCAGAAGCTATAAAAATGCAGTATTTCCATTTAAGATAAAAAGTAAATCCAAAATACCTGATCATACTGATTTAAGATAAAAACATTGTTTTTTAAAAAGTCATCTTAAAAACAGGGAACCTCTGAACACATCTTATGGTAGCAAACTACTAAGTTTAGACTAAATGGTGTATTAGGAAGTTAATAACCAAAATAATAATAGCTGTATTTCCAGGGAAATTGTGCTTGAAAAATATAAAAACAACCCACTTAGGCATACTGCAAAATACAATGTTCTGCTATAGAAAAAACAAACATGTAAATGGCTTAATCTTGTAAAGATAATGATTCTTTTAGCCAACTGTTTATAAAGTTAGAATAATTCAAAATAACTTTATTCTTTTTTACAAAGAGCAAGTACAGGAGCTATTCAAAATCATGTACTCAATCAAAATGAAATGTAACTTGTACCGACTGCTGAAGTTGTCTTGATGTGTGAAAGACTTGAAATCTGTGAAGCAATTTGAATAGATTACTTTTTATAAAAATAGTAGTAGTCTTTAAGTGTAGAATACTGCCTAACTCTGGAGATGCAGGAAAAGTCAGCATTCTTTAGGTTCAAGATACTAATTTTAAATAGCAGCTGAATGTGTCCTCATGGCAAAGCATAAAGACCTTTTTTTCCTTGAAAAGGAATTTCAAAATCGTCCTTTCCCCTCACAGTGTCCTAAAACTTTAAAAAAGGAGGGAGAGAGGGTGTTTTCCTGTATTTCAGCACTCTTTGAAACTGCTGAAGGGAGGCTGTCGGTCGGGGTATAAATAAGAGTCCTGGGTAAGTCCTTGAAATTCCTCATTCCACAGCAAATCCACATGTTTCTTCAATGGCTGTTAGCAGCTTTTCATAGAGCTTTTCATAGCTTTCATAGGGCGGAATGTCTATTCGATTGAAGCTGTGAATAAGCAAATAGACTTTATATAGACCATTCAAAAAAATAAATTGGCCTACCAAGTGTATAGTAACACAGCCATATTCTTTGTGTCACACAGAAAGTTAAAATATTGTATTGCTTTAAAATTAATTACCTCTGGTGTTTTCCTACTAATTTCTGAATAATTTTATATCACTTTTTTTGAGTTGCTTATTCCTCCTAAAGATGCTTCTACTAGTAAGGAAATAAATGAGAAGTCATATTCGTTTGGAACTAACACCTACATGGGATGGTGGGAATAGCTACAGAAATCACTTACCACGTGTGGGCTTTGGGCAGGTTGTTAGTGGAGGCGTCAATCTGGTGTATGGTGAAGAGCCGTGGGCCTGCAGCACCTGCGTAGGAGGGACATGTGGGTCAGATCACTGCACGCACACGGCTTCATCTCCACAATTTCAGAGTAGAACTGGTACATAAGCCACAAGGTCTCGGGGTGGGGAAATGTGGTAAATCCATACGTGCTTTTCCTCAGGACAGCACAAAAAGAATCTGGGGTTTTTTATTTATTTATTTTTTTTGGTCTTTTTCCTTTTTATCGGTACCAGGGATCACGACTGCCTGCTTTCAAAGCAGGTGCTTATGCCGCTGAGCTAAACCCCCAGCCCCAGAATCTGGGTTTTAAAAGCTGGAACTGACCTTGGATAAGGCTAGCTGACTTAATTATGTTAGCATTTTAGTTTAAGAAAAAGTTCAGGGTTGAGATGCTTTTGCCAACTTCTGTTTTATAGAAGATCAATATCCCAAAAGACAGAAGAAAAACAATCAACCATATTGAATATGCACACACTCAGAAAGATAACAACTTAATGCATACTTAGATGTCATGACTCAAACGGAGCCAAAAGAAAGATTAGTACTGGACATAGAGGATAACTACAACTTCTAGCTCCCCAAATAAGGAAGGCAAGCACAAAGTAGGCTTTGCCAGTGCACTCTGAGCATATGCACAGCTGTGGCACTGATGAATTATGTACCAGTCTTGATTTGTGTTTCCTCCCTCAGTACCAACAGCAGTAACTTTAAAAATGGAGCACTTGAGAGGTAAAGGAAGCAGCTGCCACCCAGGGAAGCATGACAACCATCAGCCATAACAATGACTCATCCAAAAATTAAGCAGCTTATTCCACTGAAAACAACTGTTAAAAATGAAACATGATTGTAAATCAATGGTCTGATGCCATGCAATAATTAAAGTGCTCTGGCTAAATAGATGGCCTCCATAAATCATGCTGCCTCTTTCTTGTAAAAGGCAATCAGGTGGGTAAATGTTTTGACAGGCTGGGATGTGAACATGGAAGCAGACGATCTCTCCTATGGAAATGTGCAACACAATTAAAAGCACCGTGGCCAGAATGAAAGGCAGAGAATCATACAGTCAGTCTAACATGCAGCACTTGCTACAATTACAGAGAACCCTGCAGAAAAGGCTCTTGGGGGTAATAAGAGAGGGAAGGAGAAGAAAGTATCATGACATGAGAGTTACAGACAAGAAACAGAGTTAAAAGAGAATCTATTTATAAGCAAACGGTTTGTAAAATACCATGTAAACCAAACAGTGCCACCTACCCCTCCCCCAGAATATCCAATACCACTGTGCTTGTCTGTCTCTCCGGGTTTGTACCTTGTAGTGCTTTGAAGCCCTGCAGAGGCACCCTAGATGATCCTGTCACAAACTGTAGCAATCGTGCTCGCCGCTCTTCATCAAAAAACTCCACAGCTTTCCAGAACCACTTGACGACGTTGCTGTCTGGTGTACAGTGTTTTAACCGGGTGTTTACTTTCCAGTCATTGACGTCTATCTTTCCAAGTCCACAAATAATGAGCTAGTAACATATTGTACAAGTGATGAGCCAGCAGAAACCAAAGCCATGCCAAACATTCCTCAAAATGGAATTTTAGATTTGTCATGTTAATCCTCATTTGGTATTCTTAATCAAAGGTGCACATGGGAATCATCTGGAAAGCTTTTCAAAATATGCACACCAAGTCCTCTGCCCAGAGACTCTTAGTTCTGTGAGAATCTTGGTGACAAGCCTTTTTTCTAAAGACCTCCAAAGGTACCTGCTCACTGCAGATTCCCCTCCCAGGGTCTGAGAACCACCACTGTGGTGGACTCAATAGGATTAAAGCATTGAGAAAATTCCTAATTTCAAAAAAAAAAAATTCTAAAATTTAAAAAAATAGAAACTGAGACCCCAAAAGTAAATGTGATTTATATATACCTCCTCAGAGGGGTATATTTTTTTGGCTTCAACACTATCAGCTTTGTGAGTTGGAGCGATTGAGTTCTGCTTTGCCAAGAATCCTCAGCTGTAGCTTGGCAGACAGATCTACTTTACTGCATACATCCCATTAAAGGGACTCACAGTGCACAGCACCTTAAGAAATATGTATGCTGAATATGTGATTAATACAATGTTTACTAATCTTAAAATATATATGTAATACATGACACATTAATACAGATGCAAGGTCAGTATAGATGAGCTATAGCAAAGTCATTTTGATACTGTTAATATCAACATCTCTTAGGGTCAAAGACTAACATAATGCTAATCTATCATGTTTTTACAGTGAATTATGATAGTGTATAGTATAAAACAATAACTCACAGATCCTACTTTTATAGAATCCTATTAATGTAGTATAACATTAAGGGCTATACACTTTTCTGAACAATTTAATGATTTCATTAACAGTAAAAACCAAACAATAAACCCTATTCCTACTGGATGAAATCTCCAACGAAGTTACTATATAGACGTCTAACAGATCACTAAATTTAAGTCACTCTGAACCGGTAACAGGATGGCCTAAAAGGTTTACAGATGCTTTAAGATTTCCTCCTCAATTCTTTTTTTCATCAGAGTGGCAATTATAAGACAAACCCCGCCTTCAGTGGGAAGGTCCTATACCTCAGCATGTCACTGGTGCATACCAGCCTCCTCCTCCTGATCACGTCCTAGCAACAGTTCAACATAAACAGAAGGAGGGATACTACCCGGTCAAACCAATCTTCTGTATTTATTTGCTATCATGTCTGTTAACACATTTAGTTAGAAAAGACAATGAAATGCGTTAAAATCATGTTTTAAGTAATTTTAACAGAAATAGAATCATGTTTTAATTAGTTTTAACGGAAGCAAATACTTGTGAATTGTTGAGTACACCTGCTAGTACATGAATATTTCCAAAGGGGTAACTAAGGTATTATTCAGTTTACCTTCAGTGTTTTACTTATTCCATGATCTTGTCTACCAAATGTTTTCTAACAAAGCTTAGTGCAAACAAACCCAATTGAGCCGAAGCCTTTATCAAACAAATTTCAATACAGTGAAGATCAACTGAAGTTTTGATTTAAATAAATTAACAACCACTAAATCAAGAAATAAAAAAAACATTGGAGAGGCTGGGGATACAGCTCAGCGGCAAAGTGCCTGCCTGGTAAACAAAAGGTTATGAGTTCGATCCCTGGTACAAAAAAAAAAAAAGAGAGAGAGAAAGAAAAAACACAAAAAATTTACATGTAAGACATAAAATCTGTTTAAATGAAGACAATAAGGAGCTATAAGAGTTTTCACTCTAAGGCCAGTGTGGTAGCACATGCTTGTAAACCCAGCACTTGGGAAGTTAAGGCAGTAGGATTGTGAATCAAAGGCCAGCCCAGGCTACATAGCAAGTTAAAGGCTAGCCTAGATTACACAGTGAGACCCTGTCACAAAAAAGAAAAAAAAAAATTTAAAAATTCACAATAGAGAAATTGCTTACAGAAATGCCAAAGAATGAAATGCTAAACACTTTTCTTTTGAGTATGAATTCCCATGGAACTGTACCATAAAGTTTTGAAAGCATTAGAAATACAACTTTCCTCTAAAACTAAGCAAAGTAATTTTCAGTCTTTCCTGTTGCACTACATGATGTCACAACACTAATGCACTGACCTCTAACTCCTTCTCATCAAATGTCTTCAACAGATGCTGTGGAATTACTTCATTAAATCCTTTCTGCAAGGCCAGGAATTGAGCCTCAATGCCTCGTAAAAATCTCCAGTTCACATACAGTCTGTAAATATTGAACAGGATTTGCATATGATTATATACATGCAGGTTTGGCAAATATTAAAATTTCTACTGTAGGAACATCACATTATACAAGCATCAAGAGTTTAGTCTATATTCTTAAAAAAAATTTTTTTAAACCCTCAAACTAATGAGGATAAATAGATCCTAAGCTGTGAAGAAGTTCAATGGACATAAAAAGTAGTACCCTCTACCAATAAAAGCACTATCAAAATAACTTCAAATTAGAGAAACTCCTAGTCAAGTGGAAATCTAGAGCTTTGATGGTTCAGAGGTTAAAATCCCTGTGGCCTCAAAATGTAGCTCACTAAAAATCTTGACAAAAATTGTCTTCTAAATAACCAGAAGAACCTATTCAATCAAAAATGGTCATTTTCTGCCTGGCAAGTGTGACATCGTGAGTTTGATCCCCAGTGCCACCAAAAAAAAAAAAGGTCATTTCTCTGGATTTCCTTGAAGAAAGTATCATGGAAATGTGTTGCATGTTTTAGATATATTTGAGGGATGACTACTGAGAAGAGGAGGTAGAGAATACTCATATCCAACATGAGAAGAAAAAGAGCATTCTTCGAATAAATACGATTCCCTTGAGACCATATAAACTCTGAAAGACGTTGTTTTACCAACAATAAGTACACACTAACCTGTATGTATTATATAACTTGTGCTTTGACTGGAACTTACCATTTGCTTTTGTTTACCTATCTTCCCAGGAAACTTTCAATTCATGCATCCCAGAACTACTTATTTGTCAAATTTGTTATCAACATTTCCTTTTCCAAACTTGGAAAAAGTCCTCTAATTTAATAAATAAATTGCTTAACTTTACACTCTATGGAGGACCTCTGCATTGTCAGTTTTTTTTTTTTTTTCAATGTCAGTTTTAAGAGACAACAAAACTGCGTAACTGTTGTCCTTGTGCGGTACTCACTTCGGCAGCACATACACTGAAGTTGGCATTGTGCAGCTGGCCAAGGATTAGCACTGTGTCTTACACCTGCATGAGACTTGGAGAAAGTAGATGCAGGAATTCAGGCAGTCACAAACTGCCTGAGTGACACACTCAGGGACTGAGTGACACACTGCTGAGACTGGGGAGCTTCCCAGTCACTTTTTGGAGGAGGTATCAGGAATCAAACTCAAGACCACAGGCTTGCCAGGCAGGTACTGCTCCCCCCAGCCCTTCCCCAGTCACTCATATTTCTAACTAGAAATGCAATACACCCTTGTTGTATATGTGAAGAAAAATCAAACTTAACTGCGAAGACAAAATGAAACCAGAACGTCCATTCTCTTGCTCCCCATGACTCTTTTCCCAAGTCACCACCTCTGCTTCCTCTTCTTAGGCCAGTGATGGCAAACCTCTTGGGAGTTTTCCAGTGATACTAACAGCCTGCTGAGGCACGCGTGCCATAGGTTCACCACCACTATCCTAGGCAAACACTGAATTTGTACTCAGCCTTCCAGAACATCTTCCATAGAACTATGTTCCTACATAATTTGTCTAGGACTTGCTTTTTATATTTGACAGCTTATGCAGTCTTTCTTTTAAACACCACATATTCTACTGAATGCATGTATTAAATCATGTTACTCTAAAACATTTTGGTAGGTAATTTTTTACAAGTAACATTCAGTTGAACATCCATATTCGTATTTCTTTACTTATATGTAAAGTCCTAAAAAACAGGGCTGCCAGTTGAAGGTCACGTGCATGTTTATTTTGGTAGTTGTTACTGAACTGCTTCTCAAAAACCTACAACAATGTTCACTTCCATCATCAGTGTGAAACTGACCATTTTGAAACTAGGAAGATTTAGCTAGTAAGATTTAGATACATAATTGATACAAAATGATAGCACAGTACACATGTTTCCGTATACACATAGTAAAGTTCAAACTTGTAAATGTAACTACCATAATTTATACTTACAATTCACATATCAAAATTCCTCAATTTGTGTTTTATAAAACCTGAAGAACATTTTTTAACTTTAACCCTTAAAATCACAATGCATCATTTATAAACAGGCAAAGCGCTAGTGATACAGCACGGAGTCCTCATGTACTGCCCCTTCCACCCAGCAGTGCTCTACCTATATCTTCTACCTTCGCATAGCCTCTCCTTTTCTCATCAACCTGAGCCAGCGTGGGACTCATTTCAACCAAAACAATACAGCCAGTATCAGAAGTCATGTTAGCCAGTATCAGAATTAGACCTTCAAAAGTTCTGGCAGCTTCTGCTTCTGTGTTCTGGGAAGCCGGTCACCCCATAAGCCTACCTTGCTGGGAGTGAGGCTGTGGGGAGGAGGACAGCACACAGGGAAAACCGAGGGGCCCAGTGAGAATGAGTTCCCAGAGTGACCCAATGTGTGATGTGAGCCTCTGCCTTCAGAGTTCTGAGTCATTTTCACTCAGGCCTAGCTAACATCACATGCAACAGCAGTGTCCCTGTGTTTTAAGCCAAATTACTGACCTCTAAAATTGTGAAAATTAATAAAACAGTAGTTATTTTTAAGTCACTAAATTCTGTGGAGGCATATTTTGTAGCAATCACTAAAACTACTACTTAAATTTTTTTCCACACTGATATCCTAGAACATTAAAAATATTCTCAACCTTGAGAACACAGAAATGTTTACCTGACATATTCTTTTTTATTTTCCTCAGTAACAGGGATACTTTTGCCATTAGGTTTAAGTTCATGCTGAATAATTTCACCATATGCATTATGTTCAACACAGAAGGTATGGTCCAAAACACCTGTAATATCATTTTCACTAGACAAAAAAAAAAAAAAAAAACAGAAAAAGACACATAACTGGGAAACCTACAACACAGATCCTGTAAGCATATTAACTGGGGAGACAAACAAAGCTAAGGTAGTTAATAATGACAAATATCAGGTCAGATTCCTCTTCCTAGTTTTTATCCTACCAGCCCATCTTTTCTTGGACAGAAAAGTCAAAGGGCTTGAACATAAACACAGGTTAATATTTTATTTTCCAAGTAACAAGACAGAGCCTTACTCAAAGGCTAGACTTTTGTTAGCCATAATCTAGAAAGGTTTCATCTGTGACAGGCATTCAGTTACCAGGCCCTTCTGAACCCAAGCACCCTCAATTAAGCATATACTTGAGTACCCCCAGTGAGAAAGTATTTTGTAAGAATAAGTACAGTATTGTCAATATAGCTTCCCAAGCAAAATTAGTAATAATTTTATTTTTTATTCATGTATTGGTCTTTTAGAGACAGGGTCTTGCTACGCATGTTAGGCTGGCCTCGAGTTCACTTTGTAACCCAGGCTGATTTTGAACTCACAGTGATCCTCCTGCCTCAGCTTCCTTAGTGCTAGGATTACAGGTGTGTGCCACCATGCTCAGCATTACTCCTTTTTTTTTTGCCACTGGGAATTGAACTCATGACCTTGCACTTGCTAGGCATCTGTGTCACTAAGCTATATCCCTGTCCCAGTAATAACTTTAAATAGAGTTACTGTTTCACTAAAAATCAGTGACAGCCAGATGTAGTGACTCATATCTGTAATCCCAGCACTAAAGAAGGCTGAGACAGGTACTCGAGTTCAAGGTCAAGTCCAAATCCAAATCCTACCAGGCAATTTAGCAAGATCTTGTCTCAAAAAATAAATAAAAAAGGTCTGGGAAGTAGCTCAGTAGTACTGCACCCCTTCCCCACCAAAAAAATAAAAATAAAAATAAAAATCAATGGCACCAGGAATCTGGTATTGTAATACAGAATGGGTTAGATGGAAACTTGTATCACACAAATGTTATACACAGTGCTTTTTTGTTTGTTTGTTTTTGGAGACAGGGTCTTGCTATGTAGCTCAGGCTGGCCTTGAACATACCACGTCTGCTGTGACACAGCACTTTATAAAACACACGCAGGTTAAAAAAAAAAAAAAAAAAACATACACAGGTTGAGCATCCCTAACCTGAAAATCCAAAACTATTTTAAGGGCAACATGATACTACAAGTAGAAAATTCCAAAACTGACCACATGTGACAAGCTGAAATCAAAACACAGGGGTACTAAAACTATTTTATAGAATTATCCATAAACTATATACATGCATAAGATATATGAAATAAATGAATTTTGTTTAGTTTCGGGTCCATGTCTCAAGATCTCAACATAAATATTACAAAATCTGAAAGAATATAAAATCTGAAATACTTGTAGTCCAAAGAATTTCACATAAGAGATGCTCTATGTGTACTAGAATTTTTTTCCCTTTTTAAATTAATAATACTCAAAGCCAGGGAGCACACCTATAATCCTAGCACTTGGAAGGCTGATGTAGGGGGGTCCCTGTGAGTTCAAGGTCAGACTAGGCCACACAAAGTGAATTTAAGGTCATCTTAAACTACACAGTGAGATCCTGTCTGAAAAACAAGCAAAAATGAAAAACTGATAATAGTAACTTTAAGGAATTTTAGAATTTCAAAATGTACAGAAGAGCAGTAAAAAGGGGAAACAAAATCTTATGTGGTCCTATCACACATAATCAAACTTACTATGTTCTGTGCATATTTAAAAATTTTTAAGGTAAAATGCATCCCTTCTGAAACATTTTTTTATAAAACTCACATTCTAACTACAGAATAATAAACAGACAAAAGACTCAACACAGTACATACAGTATCCACACCAAACTATTATGAAGGTCTGGATCAACTAATTCCATGTCATCCAAAGTAATTGACTTTCCAAGCAATTGTTTATAAAAAGGCAATGTAAAACCGCCATCAATGTAATGTCCATGAAACACAGCCATTCCCATTATTCGTCCAACAAAGTGGAAATATGATAAATGTTCCTGAAATTGAAAAAAGTTTATATAAATACTCAAGTTAGAGACTATCTGAAAGTTTTTAATAAAAAACAAATATTCAAGCAACACCAAGATTTTTTAATAAGCATCAGATTTTTACTCTACAACTATTTAAATGGAAGAGGTTATATATCAAAGCACAATAATCCTTAGGGAGTGTTTCTATGTAGTATGTTCAAGATTCTCTATATAGGGGCCAGAGGTGTAGCTCAACAGCAAAAGCCCCTGCCTGGCCCTGAGTTCAATTCCTGGTACAAAAAAAAAAAAAAAAAAAAAGATTTTCTATATCACTATAAAATAACATGTTAATGCCCTTCAAAGGTTAAAGGTACTCCATAAAATGCATCTTTTAGGAAAGCACACCCAATTAACAGTCAAACTGCAGGTTGATAAAATCACCTCAAACCCCACTGCTTTTCTGTCTCCCATTTGAGGTCTTTGCCAGGGAAAAACCGCTTTCAATCCTAAACATCCCTGCTTCCTTGATATAACTAGAAACTGAATCTCAAACCACTAATGATTTAAGAGCACATATTTGATGTCAGATTTGGATTAGTTGTGACTGTCATCACTGGCTTTGCATATATGGTCAAATTAATTAGCCTCTGCTATTTATTCACATGTGATAAAATGAAGATAACAATCCTCAAGAGTCTGTGAGAAGCAGGTGGTAAAACCCTCTACATGGCCTGGCAGATGAGAATACACATAAGCTGGTGATGCCTACAGTAGCAATAGTGGGCTCACCAAGAACTTCATCTACAAATTATCATTTAATCAAGAATTTCTGCAATGAATCTAACCCTTCTATCATGTTTGTATATACTTTGTTTTTTTTTTTTTTTTGCTAGCTGAAGGTTTGTATTCTAAAATTTCACTTCTATATTTAATAAGTAACTTTTGGGCAACCTGTTTGGGACCCCTCCTGTCTCTATTCCTATTCCCCAATAAACTTTCCTACTCTTTTTTTTTTTTTTTTTTTTTTTTGGTACTGGGAATCAAACTCATGATCTTGCAGTTGCCAGGCAGGCGTGTATGCTGCTGAGCTAAATAACCAGCCCCAACTTTCCTACTCTTAAAAAAAAAACCCACCCCCCAAAAAAGTAAGCTCAAAAAAATGACCTAATTTTTTTTAAAAAGTAACTTTTAAACTCATCTTTAATTCCTTTTGATCTTAAAAAAAAGTTTTGTTTAAAGCAACATGTTCACTACAAAATATTTAGATAGTATATGGACAAACAAAAAAACTTTAGAATCACTCATTGTCTAATATCTAGAGATAACCATTGTATCATACAGTACAGCCTTTCAATGTTCACACTTATGGACAGGTGTGGTGATACACATGTGTAATTTGAACACTCAGGAGGCTGAGGCAGAAGGATCACTGTAAGTTTGAGGCCAATGTGGGCTATAGAGTGAGTTCAAGGCCAGCCTGAACTATATAATGGGTCCCTGTCTTAAAAACCAAAAAATAAAAATGTTCACATTTATATGTATTTATCAGACAGAGTCTCACTATGTGATCCAGACTGGCCTTGAATTCACAGCAATCCTGCTGCCTCAGCCTCCCAAGTGCTAGGATTACAAGTGTGCGTTACCACACATAGCCATGTCATATTATTGTATTGCCTTATTTACATTTAACATATCATGAACACCATCTTTAACCTACATTATTATTGCAGTGGCTGTGTCATAGGCCCTTGTATGAAAACATAACAGATTCAATACAAACAAGTTAACAATTTACTATTGACTTTTTACTGTTGATTTTTTATAAGTGCTTACTAATGTATAAAAGGATCAATAAAACATAGCACTCTGCTAAATATTCAAGGTACTCACGGTACCACTAAACTCTCACAACGCCTCTCTGAGACAAGAACTGTATTTAATATTATTAGCAATAAAAAAAACCTGAGCCTTAGCTAGGTGTGGTGGTGCACGCCTATAACCCCAGCACTCAAAGAGACTGAGATAGGAAGATCACTGTGAGTTCAAGGCCAGCCTGAGATACCCAGTGAGTTCAAAGCCATTCTGAGTTATATAGTGAGACTCTGTCTCAAAAAAAGCAAAGAAAAAATTGAAGCTTAAATCAATGAACCTGCCCATGCACACAAAGTTAATAAATAATGAGACTATGAAATGATTCAATGTCTTTTTAATTAATTCCAGAATCAGGGCCAGGGATTTAGCTCAGCGGTGCAAGCGCCTGCCTGGCAAGCTCGAGGTCATGAGTTTGATCCCCAGCACCAAAAAAATAAAAATAATAATAATAATAATTCCAGAATCTGTTTTTAATTAATTACATTATTCTGTCTTATAATTTAATCAATCCTCAAACTTGTGAACAACTGTGTTGTTTTCAATTGAGGTTGCTATCAATAACAGATATTCCTGCACCCAAATTATTGAACAAATCTATAATCATTTATTTGAGCAATTTTTCTAGAAGAATTGCTGAGTCAAAGGATATAACTATGATGGGGTAAGTAATTCTTATGTATTGAACTACATTGCATTTAAAGATGAAAAGCACTGCAATCCCAATGTAACCACATCATAATAATTAAAAATCATACTGGATTAACAGCAGAATCAGGATTGATCTGTAATGTGTAGATATCATCTCTGGAGTACTGGAATAGGCCATAGTAAGGATTCAGCATTTCATGTGACAGGAGATACAACCATTCCCTAGAAAACAAAATGTGAAAAAGAATCTTCTGTTAATTTTTTCTTTTTTTGATTGTACTGTGCATTGAACCTAGGACCTTTGCACTGAACTACATCCCCAGTGCATTTTTTTATTTAGACACCAGGTCTCACTAAGTTGCCCACTCTGGGCTTGAACTTGCCATCCTCTTACCTCAGCCCTCCAGAGTGCTGGAATTATAGGCCTGTATCACCAGGCCTGGTCATCAATACATTTTTATTAAGATATGCCATTAATTCACTTTCACAAATAATTTTTAAAAATTAGTAAGCAAAATAAAGCACTAACTATAGTTACATAAGATCATACTGAAAAAAACTGACCATGCCTAAACAGTAAATGAAAACTGGATTTATTATACTGAAGTCACTGCTCACTCAACTTTGGGCAAGCACTACATTACATGTTAGTCTCAGACAATACATAAGTATCTATGAAGTGTGACTGAAAAATGCAGTAAATGTTTAAATTTTTAAAATATGTTATAGTAATTTGTCATAAGTGGCTTTTATCATATTGAGATAACATACTGTATCTATTTTCTTCAGTGTTTCTATCATGAAAGGATGCTGGATTTTGTCAAAGGCTTTTGCTGCATCTATTGAGATGAACATGTGATTTTTGTCCTTGCTTCAGTTTATGAATGTATTACATTTATTGATTTGTGTATGTTGAACCATTCTTACATACCTAGGATGAAGCCTATTTGGTTATAAGATCTTTTTCATGATTCACTGCATTCTGTTTGCCAGTATCTTTTAGAGGATTTCTGCATTTATGCTCATTAAAGGTACTGTTCTGCAGTTCTTTTTCTTGATTGGATCTTTGTCTAGGTTTAGAATCAGGGTAAAATTAAAGAGTACTATGCTGCCATAAAAAAACATAAACTTGAGTCATTTGCAGGAAAACATGTGTACTTTGAGACCATAATATTAAGTGAAATAAAGCAGACACACAGATTAAATATTGCATCATTTCTCTTATATGAGAAATTCAAACTTTTTAAAAAAAGAGCAAAGTAAGAGATACTAGAGACAAATTTTTCTCAAAGCAGAAGGATCAAGAGATGGAGGGGGAAGGAGACGAAAAAGGAATTAAGATGTGGTACATACATGCATCAACTCAACACAGGAAATGTAATTATTATATATTCTAAATGCAAAAAAAAGGGATCAAAAGTAGATGGAGGAGGGAAGGGAAAGGGGATTTTAAAAAGAAATTAGAGCATATTATGCACATGCACCATCTTTCCACAAGGAATGTAAACATTATATACTCTAAACATGCACTAATAAAAAAAAGTATTAGAAGACAAGACATTGTACCAAATGCCTGTAATCCAGTGTTCAGGAAGATGAGGCAAGAGGATCACTACAAGTTCAAGGTGAGCCTGAGCTACCTAGCAAGATTCTGTCTCAATCAATTAATATGTATTACAGTGAAGACACACTGCTACTAACCCCCCTCAAAATACTCCCCGTTTCAACCATATTTATTCCATCATCCTCAGCACTTTCAGAAGCAGCTCTAGAAGCCCTCTTCCCTGAATGTTTTTCATTGTTTTACTATGGCTGTCCTGATGCTTTCAATCAATTCACAGTCTTTTCATGGTCATTTTGACTTTGAGGAAGAGCCAGAGGTCACATTGTGAGTGAAGTGGCCAACGACACCATGTAATGTGTTTATGAGCTGCCCACTGGGTGGCGCTCGGGCAGCAGCAGTCATTGTATTTTTTATCACATTCAGGAAAGGGGCGTTTCAGAACTGCTTCAAGCCAGGGGTTTAGCTCAGTGGCACAGCACTTGCCTGGTGAGTACAACCTACTGCATTCGAGTCCCAGTACAAAAACAAACAACAACAGCAACAACAAACCCCATGGAATAAGCATGTTCAAAGCAACAGGACTGGGCCGAGAATATAGCTGAGTGGAATAGTACCTGCCTGCCAAGTGCAAGGTCCTGAGTTTGATTCCTGATATACTACACCCCCTCAAAAAGCAGCAGGAGTATTCTGAGAGGGATTAACAATAATACACATTTTATTGTAATAAATTTTTTAAAAATACAAACATCCACTGTATATTTTGATCATACCCCATGGAAGTTCAGCTACTCAAGGAGATGCTGTAACCCAGCAATTTATTACTTTAAATGCTAAATGAATTTGTAATGCACAAAGTGAAGGAAAGCCAGGCACAGTGGTGCATCCCTCTAGTCCCAGCACTCTGGAGGCTGAGGCAGATAGATCGCTGCATCAGTCTAGGCTACATAGTGAGTTCAAGCCAGCCTGGACTACACAGGAAAAGAATGTCTCAAAGACTATGGTTTTATTTCAAAAGATCCACATCATTTCAACTGACTATCCTAGTCTACACTACTTTATACAGATATATAATATAGCTTTAATTTATTTTGGACACAGGAGTAATTTACTGGTATTGTTTTAATAAGAAAATTTCGGGGTTGGGGATTTAACTCAGCAGCATAAGCACTCGCCTGCCAACCATGAGGTTGCGAGTTCGATCCGGGGTAACAAAAAAAGAAAGAAAAGAAAGAAAAGAAAAGAAAAGAAAAGAAAAGAAAAGAAAAGAAAAGAAAAGAAAAGAAAAGAAAAGAAAGAGAAAGAAAGAAAGAAAGAAAGAAAGAAAGAAAGAAAGAAAGAAAGAAAGAAAAGAAAATTTCATTACCTATTTCATCATCTTCACTAAATAAATCCTAAAACATACCATATTACGTCACAGTTTCCATGGGATTTGGACACTTAGGTCAGCTTGCATTGTCTGGTATGTTTCAAATTACTTCTTGATTTCCAATGTACATCCATGCTTTGTAAACCTCACAATAATTAGTGTTGCCATCACCAACTTGCTAAATTCATTATAATTTTTAAAATATAAAAGATAATCTCTGGCCCTGAATCAAGGCCGGCAGCTTCCTGACACTGTTGGTTTCAAGCAGGAGCCTAAAGAGATGTCTTTCTATGGTCTGTTGGCCATTTCAGAACTTGCGCGGTGAAATGGTCAATTCATTAGAAAGAAAAAGCTTGAAGCAAAAAAAAAAAAAAAAAAAAGATAATCTAATCACTTTTGTGAAAACAAAATAAAATACACTGGTCTAGAACTTACGAGATATAGTTCTAATCTCAATTCTGGATATTTCTCAAGGAAAATTTTTTTAATGATGTTTTGATATTATGGATTAAATAGGTTAATAATACATTGTTAGCAAAAAAAATATAGGACACTGGAAGCAAAGGGAAAACAGTATTACAGAAAGTCTCAAGATTGTTCCTGACAATGCAAAGCAGAGAAAATAACGTGTTGAAGGAGGGCAATGAAGGAAGGGCCTAAAAGTCCTACTAACAGCAGGTGAAGAGTTGGTTGCAACTAGATTTCAGAGTCTCACTGGGTTATATAAACTACTAGGGAGCACTAAATAACTCTTCTGGTAATAGTACTATCCTAATCTCATCATTAATATATCTATTAAAATTTTCCCTGTACCACAAATATTAGGGATTATTATATTAGAAAGTAAGTATCAATGACAAAGTTGTACCACAGAAAGTATCTTACATTTATAAGGACAAAGATCTATGTCATTAAGTGATAGGATTTTACCTAGCAACCCCTCCATAGTCAAGGCCTTCTTCTCCACGAAATTTTATCATTAATCGCTTCCAGAGATCTTTTGGTCTCATTTTCATGACTTGTCGGTATGACTCCTAAAAAAAAATGTAAATATTGAGTACCATCATCATTAGGTTGTTTTTAACCTTTTATTTAAGCTACCCTTCTCATCCTGCCCCTGAAATATAGTTTAAATAAAGTAAAATGTATTCAACAAATCAGTAAATTTCCAATACTTTAAAGCTTGTAGAACTTTAAAAACCTAAAAGAACATAGCTTAATCCTACTTCAAGCAATTGACTTGATAAATATATTAAAAGCATACTAGGTTAAAAAAAAAAGAATAAAGAAAAAAAAAACTGTGTTTTAGTTCTATGAACCACAGCAATGGTTCTACCAATAATAACAGAATTTGGTAGAAGTAGCTAATTCCTAAAAGTTGGCTGACCTAATTTTAGGTTATAGGCATCAGTAAAAATAAATACAAGAAAAACAAAGTTCCACAAAATGTAAGTAATCATTAACATAATCTTCATTACACGGAGAATTTTTTTATATTTTAAAGCATAAATGATTGACCCTTTTTTTCATACTCTGCTTCAGTGGCCTGCTGACCCAGCTCCTTGCAATGGGCTGATCATAGCGACACACAGATTTCCACGGCCCACTAGCCCCATCTACCAACCCTCATCCATTCATTCATATTTTATTTATGTATGTATGTACTGATTTATTTATATGTTAGTAGACCACCGAAGAAACCTACCATTCTACACACGTCAGGCAAGTGCTAGCCCTCTGGGCTCTACTTTCAGCCCATTTCATGGTCAGGGGATACACTGAAAATTCCTGATACTGTTTCCTTGAGGGGCTGTGGGCTAAGCAGAGACATCCTGGGTGGCAGCACTAGTACAGAAGGATATATCACCCTCAAGGGATCCAACAAGTGACAGTGTAAGTGCCTGAGGCACACTGGCACCAGCTTGTGTGCCGCACATTTGGCTGGGCCCTGGCTGGTAAAAAGCTCCTCAGGCTGCCTTGGCCACACTGCAGCAGATGCTCCTACTGAAACCCAAGATAGCTTCACCTCACTACCTGCTTTCTTCAAGCTCTTGCCCAAACCACTATCCCATGACCCCCACTACTGCCTCTAATCAGCTCCCAGCACTGGCCCCCTAAAAATCCCCAAGGCCACTGCTGCCTTTGCCAAATGATTAACTATCAAGAAGGTCAGAAATACTCTGAGAGATGGAGCTGGGGATTTAGCTCAGTGGCATAAGCACCTGCCTTGCAAGTGCACAGTTATGAGTTCAATCCCTCATACTGGTAAATAAAAAAAAAAAACTCTGAAAGGAAAAAAAGTTTATCCTTTAGGAAAACGATTATCAGATCCCCAACATCTCATGTTGAGGAATCCTTTAATGAGTAGGAAAATCCTACCTTTGATCTCTATCACTTATTACACAAGAACTTTGAAGCTGGTATTAGGCTTCATTCAAAAATAAAAATTATACACCAGCAATAAAGATTTTCAACAAATTAAGGAAAGCAGTTCAATAGCAATCAGACAAAATAACTTCTATTTAAAAGTCCCTTTCTATCTGATGAGCTAAAATTCAAAAGAATTAAAAAGTAAGGTCGTGGCTAACAAGTTTTTGCAGTGCAGAAGTCAAACTGCATCAGAACATCTGGCACTCATCAGTCCATTTAAGTGCTTACTGTACATATAAAATCTTTCTAGTATTATTGCCTTATTCCCCACAATCAAAATAGAAATTAATGAAAAGCCGCCACTCTAAAGAAATATGAGTCTCAAAAAAGTATTCTTGGAAAAAGAGACTAAAACATTAAATTTAACTTTCCTCTACTTTAAAACAAGACTTGGAAGTTTACCTCAAAAATCTCTTCCCTAGAAACTTCAATACGGCAGTGACCAGCCTGAGGCTGTTGTTGGGAAAGTTCTTGCCGCAGGATTTTTAGTTTTTGAACCAGGTCTCGCTTGTATCTTGGTACTGTCAGGCACTCCGTATCATCTGGGCATAATGACACCACCTGTTGTTGCTGTTGGTCTTTCAACTGATTCTGCCGACTAGAAGTACACAAAACAGTTATTAGGAAAGTATTTTAAACACAGAAGACTGCAATCACACATTAAAATAGCATCAGACTGTAAAGTAAATCTAGCTGTATCATTTTCCATGTCTAATTAGGACATAAAGTCAGCCTGACATTCTGGCAATAACAAGCTAACTCTAAAGTCTGCTTTTTCCAGAATCTATATGAACTGATGGAACTGGATAATGGAGGGTTTTTCCCCTTTCTTTCTGTGGTACTGGGGATTGAACCCAGTACTTTGTACATGGTAAGCAATCACTCTCTCACTGCATTACATTCCCAGTATTGGGTAAAGCTTCATACAATTGCTGAGAACAAATTTTTCAAATACCGTTTCCATTTTCCCCTATATTGTTCCATCATCCATTTAAAAATTGAGGCATATGCCAAACATTGCTTGCTTTCTAGTTTGTCTTGCTGGAAGAACCAAACAGGAGCTCAAACTAGAAGCTTTGCAGAGCCCCTCCTTCTCTACCTACTATAATCAAGGTCATAAAGAACAGAGAAGCTCATATGTTAAGTTACTGGCATAGAGAAATAAGTACTTTATAAGCATGTCTAAGTGCTTCATAAAATGACTATTCTGTGTGCATAAAAGTAAAATTTAAGACTGAAACCATTTCTAAGTGTATGCTTCAGTGGCATTAAGTTCATTCACTGTTGTGGTAATGTGACTTTTAAATGCATACATATATAGTTTACCACAAAATGAAAATAATCCCTCAAAGATATCATAAATATAATAATTTTTAAAGGGCACTTGGCAAAGATATATTTTTATTTTCCTGGCATAAAATGTCATAAATTGCATCTAAGATTTTTGAAGCATGGTGTAGTCAGTTATAATAAGGTATCGGGAAATAAAATTTTAGATGATTTGTTACTGATATCTGGTCTATATATATAGTCACTGTGTCAAAGTTAAAAAAATGTTTTTTAACTTTTTATTGGTACTGGGGATTGAACTCACGATCACCTGCTTCCAAAGCAGGTGATTATGCCACTGAGTTAAATCCCCAGCCCCTCAAAGTTAAAATTTAAAATTCATTTTACAAAGAATAGACAAGACAACTGAACCTAAAGGTAAAAGAACAATGATTAAATACTGAAAATAACTTTCATTTCTCTAAATAGATCACCCAAGTCTGCATTACACATAGCGAAGCTTAAGTACAAGCCAAATTTTATATTTAAAATATAACTATACAGAGAAAATACAGCATTTTTGTCAACGCCAATTAATATTAACTACTCTTCCAAATATTATGAAATAGGATATTATATAAATAAAAGTACTCCATAAATAATTATACAGTCTTCCTTAAAATAAATTTAGGGAGCTAGAGGTATGAAGCCCTGAGCTGAATCCCTAATACTGCCCCCCCCCCCGCCAAAAAACGAAGAGAAATACAATAGATATTATGAAAGTGATAGGGGAGGAAATGCCTTAAAAGGGAAGGTGGTAACCCACTGTTAATTTCTTATTATCTTGTTTTGAATTCTTATATCTTTTTTATAATTTTGTTAGGTTTGGTTTTATTCTCTTTTTTTTATAAATCTCTGTTTCAAATTTTATTTCCAGGCTTCTTCAGCTAAACTGGCTGCCACAAAAAAATTTTATATAAGCAAAAACTGTAAGAGAGCTGCAGTGTCCAAGGGGGCTGGGCTTAAAAAATATTAGAGAACTAGATTTTATCAGACCCATAAACAAAAACAATTTTTAAAAAGTCACAATATAATATAGCAGCTCCTAGTAACTTCTTCCAAGTTTTACCATTTTCAGAAGCTCAGTTCAGTTTGCCTTGTTCTTAGAAGCCTCATCGAAATTCTCCAAAAGATCTGGAACTTCATCATTATCATCCTTTCCAGTAGCAAGTGGTGCTTTTCCATCCACAGGTTGTTTGGGCAGAACTTCATCTAGTCTTCTTAAACTAGTCAGACTGCTTGTACCAAGCTGGTCCAAAATGCTAGGTAGCATTTCTGTCAGCTGTTTTGTCTCACCATGGTCTTAATAGTGAAAGTGTTTGCTGCCAGAGATGCCTGAACTTCTGGGTTGTTGAAGTGGTTAACTGTTCCTTGGTTTGTAAACATATTCATCTCTTCAATACCAGAGATACTGTTTCCCCTCAACTTGTTTAATGAAAACTGAAGTTTTTTTATCATTTGCTGTGGCTGTTCTATGAACTACCTTCTTTCTGCAAGCAGTTCCTTTCCCACAAATGTACACTTGTGCCTACAGTTTGGCAAGTTTTTCTTGATTTATGATCGTTTCTTTCAGCTTGTCAGAATGAATATGGGGCAGCACAGGGGACTAGTTTGATGCTCAGGGGGTCTCTGGAAGACCAGCTGAGATTAGGTACACACACAAGGGGACACAAGATAGCAGCTAGAGCTATTCTGTCTTGTTTTGTTAGATTTTTACAGTGTCTGATAGTATAGGCAGCTATTTTGAAGATAACTGGGATATATTATGTTGTTCATTTCCTATTATTTTGTTTTGAGGTCCTATAATGCTTCCATTCTTTTGTTTTGATTTGTTTTGTTATGTGTTTGATTTTATTGTGAGTGATGGTATGGACAGCTATTTTAGAGAAAATGACAGACACTGTGATAGCCCTTGTTGATTTCCTGTTGTCTTGTTTTGAAGTCCTGTACTGCCTGCATTGTTTGTTCTAATTTGCTTTACTATTTTGTTTTGTTTTATTCTCTTTAAAATAAGAAAGTACAATCCATGAAAACGGATGAATTAAACTCTTGTCAATTTTTTTTTTAATTCTACTTTTCAAAAGATACAAGAAAATTGAGAGAAGTTATGAAAAAAAACCTCTGGCAAGTATGTATCTGATATATCGTGACCAAGCTCAACAATAAACAACTGAATAGCTATGGGATAGGCAGCACAATGATTTCACCAAAGATGATATACACAGAAGGAAAATAAAAACATGAAAAATGCCCAGCATTATTCATCATTATAGAAAAACACATTAAAACCAGAATGAGATACCACTGTATACCTTAAAAGGATGTCCAAAATGAATCAATTTAATCATATCAAGTGTTAGCGAGACTATCAAGCAACTATTTCTGGGACTATACCATGATATACTTTGAAAGGCAACTTGACATATTATTTAAAAGTTGTACATAAATCTACCTACAGATTCAGCCACTCTGTTCTTACGTAGTTATTTACTCAACTGATACAGCATATGTCCATATGAAGATTTACACATAAATGTTTTTAAGAGTTATCTGTCATAGCCATTGGGGGGAAAACCCCAAATAGCTATCAATAGGTAAATGGATAAACTGTAGAATACTGTAGAATGTATCTATACAATGTAATACCACCAGCAACAAAATCAAATTATACGTGCAGTAACAAAGACAAATCTCAAAGTTATATGGGAAACAGAGACCAAATAAAAAAGAACATATACTACATGATCTCATTTATCTAAAATTCAAAATAATACACGGTGCCGGAAAGTAGCTTAGTGACTGACTGAGAACAGTGTGTTTAGAGGATACTTGCATCCACCAAAAAGATATAGTAAAGTCCTAATCCTTAGAAACTGGGTGGGAGCTTAATTGTAGATTTAATCAAGCCATACTGCACTGGGATGCTGCGACAAATCCAGTAACTGGTGTCCTTATAAAAGAAGGGGAATTTAGATACAAACACACAGGAAAGATATAGGAACTGGTCATAGTGGCACAAGTCACTGTAATCCCAGCATGCTAACAGGCTGAGGCAAGAGAAACACAAGGTTGAGCCACGCCTCGGCAAGTTAAAAGGAACTTTTTTCAAAATAAAAAAAGGCTGGGATGTGGCTCAGTGCAAAGACCCTGGATTTAATTTCAGTATAGTACCACCAACACACACACACACACACACACACACACACACACACACACACCCCAACCCAGAACAGAACAGGATGGTTATGAGATGACAGAAGATAAAAACAGGAGTGACAGTCAATAAGCCAAGGACCATCACCAGAATAGGTTAGGAGAAACCACAAGGTCAAAGAAGGGCATGAACAAATTCTCCCTTCTCCCTTAGCAATTCCAGAAGGAACCAATCCAGCTAATTGTGTCAGTCTGGATTCGTAGCCTACAGACCTGGAGAGAATGAATTTCTCTTGCCATTTCCATTTGTGCTATTTTATTACAGCAGTACTGGAAAACTAAATGTTCCCCAACCAAGTCTCATGTTCAGAAGTGGGGCTTTTGAAAGATGACTGGATAATGAAGGAGATAAGTCAACTGATCAGTTCAGAGCTCACTATGCTGTGCGGAGATGGGTCACAGTGGGAAGAGGTGATCCAGGGATGGCATGACCTGGTAGGGTGGCAGGTATTCTTATTTCCGTTTTTTTCCCTTCTCTGCTTCCTCTGCCATCAGATGAGCAGTGGTGCTCTCCCAGGCCTTTCTGTTATGCCATTTCTGCCTTGGAGCCAGCTGATGGACTGAATTCACTGGAAAGTGTGAGCCAAATTAAGTTCTGTTTCTTAAGTTGCAAATGGTAGGTATTCTGTTTCAGCAACAGGAAAGTGACTACACAGCAAAGGATAGCAGAGAAATTATAAAAAGAGCACAAGATCTTCTAGGGTGGTAGGAATGCTAGTTTTTATCACTATGGTGATGGTTTTTTGGGTATATGTCAAAATTAAACTGCATACTTAAAATATTTATAATTTATTGGAGGTTAATTATTTTCAGTAACACTGATTCTTTAAAAATCCAGGGAACATCTAGCTCACTCACAAAGCCTTGAATGTAATACTGTGTAGGACCTGCAAATGGATACCTGATATGAGGGCACACACCTGTAATCCCAGCACTTGGGAGGCTAAGGCTGGAGGATCATTATGAGTTCAAGGCCAGCCTGGGCTACACAGTGAGACCCTGTCTCAAAAACAAAGGAAACTAAACCAAACAAAAAAACAAAAAACAAAAACCTGC